GGGAAGAGAAATATCCTGGGCTCCTACAGACATGGGAGCAGCCTGGCTCAGGAGGCTGGGATCAGGAGAGGCCATGGTCAGTAATTTCTCTGGATGATTTTTCTGGCATAAACAAGAGGACAGGCACGTGTAAATATCGAATAGTTTCTCTGGCGTGAAAAATTAACAGTGTAAATAAGGTTCAAATTGCATAACTGAGACCGTGAAATAAGAAGAAAAGGGCTAAAGGAGTAAGGGAAGTGGGAAGGTCTGGGGAAAGGAAAGAAAGGAAAGGAAGAAACAGAAACAAAGTCTTTGTAAATAGGGAGGATGGAGTGGGTGAAGGGAGGGCAGGGGTATGGGGAAAAAATAAGAACCAAGACCTGTCATGGAAAGGTACAAGACCCCAATGACGAATGCTGTTCTGTATACCTAAAAGTACCAATAAACTCAATTTTTAAAAAATGAGAGAGAGAGAGAGAGAGAGAGAGAGAGAGACTAAATTCCTGAACAGAGTTCACCAACATTACTGGCAAGAACCTGGAAGGCCACGACAGCAGACTGTAAGTAAAAGAAGAGTGCTTCCAAAGGACTAGGAGCCGATTTGCTTACACTAAAATTTCTAAGTTTTGCTGGAAGCAAAAGATAGCTTTCCCCAGAAACAGAGGCCATCATTTACAAGTAGGACTATTTTTTCCTGAACAGAATTTAAGCAGTTGATGTCTCCACCAACTTTTTGACAAAAGTCACTAAGTTATAAGTCACAAGTACTGCTTTTCCATTGCCAGCAAACCAGATTCCTAGCAGAGATGAAAGCAGGACCTTTTGTGCTTTCTACTTCTCTCTTTCCTTTTCCTCCCCCCCTTCTCTTCACACACTTACACACTCACACATTCACACCTCGGAACTCCTGAGAGCATATATTGGGTTCTAAAACATTAGTGATTCATTTTGTCTGTCTTTCATGGCATCATTATAGGAAAAATGATACTAAGTAATGAACAACTACAATATTCGCATTTGGTGATATTCTTATGCACGTGTCTGAAAAAAATTTGGAACTGTACAAAAGCATTATAACACTTCATGAGTCTAGACATATTTCTATTATCTTAAAAGGAAATCTGTCATGAAGTTACCAAAAATCCAAAACTAAAAGAGAATTAAAAGATATCTCTCTGGAAAATTCTGGCTATGGAAACTGGACTTACTTAGGCAAAGTGGCACACACCTATAATCCCTGGACTCCAGGAGGCTGAGGCAGGAAGGCCACATATTCCTAGCTTGAGAATGCTAGTGGGACCTTGCCTCAAATTTAAATATAAAAACAATTTAAAGGCTGGGAATGTGGTTCAGGCAAAGGCTCCAGGTTCAATCTCCAGTATAAAAGAAAGGAGAGCAGGAAGGGAGGGAGGAAGGAGGAAGGGAGGAAGGGAGGGAGGAAGAGAAAAGAAACTACTGATCAGGCATTGAAAAGAAACAGCAGAAACTAGGGAAAGAAAAAGACCAGGTTTAAAACCAGGTCTTCATCTTGAAATCAAGACAAGAGTTTTAGAAAAAAGGTGAGAAAAAATACATATTTAGCAAGTGTAATTGTTCGCACAAGAAGCAGAGGAGAAACACAACAAATTCTGAATCAAAGTTTTGAAACCCCACTGAATCTATGTGAGAATTTCCTACACAGGTAGGAAAGGCAGACAATCTAAAGTGATGAGAGAAACAGTCGTTGGTACTTCTTGAAACCCGTATCACTAGGGCAATGAAAGACTTGGGCTAGATAACCCGGCCGAAACAACTACTACATACAAGACTCTGGGCTGTGAAGCTGTCCCGGCAGGCACCTCCATCAGAGAACTACGCGGGAGGGTGCAAGGACAGGAAACCCTGTATCTGTCGGGAACATCCTCAGCTCGTTTGTTCTTCATTCATTCATTCATGTAGCAAACTAAACTTGAGCATAGAGCTGCCCACCACCCTCTAGACATTAAGGACACATCAGTAGAAAAAGGCTATCAAAGTCCCTACGCCTGCGGGGCTTACGTTCTGAATGAAAAGGACAAGAGTCAACATGGTTTCAATTCTTGATGGACAGAGTGAAGGAAATGAGAGTATGGGCGTTAGCGCAGGGGTGGTTTTTATACTAGGGTAGCTTTGGGAGAAACTTCTGAAACAGTGATTCCGTGGACAGCTACCTGAATTCAAGAAGGAGGTCAGGAGAGGAGCATTATAAGCAATGGGAAAACGATGCCAAAGACCTTTCCACAGTACAAAACTTTATGTGCTCAGAGACAAGACAGCTAGCATAGATTCAGAAGAGCAAAAAGCAGGAACAGTAGAAAGTAAAATGAGTAAGATAGATAAGGGTCGGATCTGTAAGGTCTGGAAAGATGGAGTGGGAATCTGGAATTTATTTTATGTGCAGTGGAGGGACCTGTGCAGGGGAACAGCATGATTTAATTTACTTTAAGAGGGACACTGGCTTCTGAGAAGAGACTGTAAGGCAAGAATTGCAACAGAAAGAACATATAAGAAGTCACTTCAAGTTCAAATCAGTGGTGCTGGTGACTCGGTCTTGGGCAGTAAGCTTTGCAACTGAAGAGAAAGAATAAAATGTATCTTGAAGGCCAAGCCAAGAGGCCTCATTATGTTTAGATGTAACAGAGAAGAAAACAGAGGAATTTAAGATTCTTAAAATTAGAGCCTGAAAAACAGAGTAAGGGTGCCCTTTGACTCTATGTAGATTCTATTTTTCTAGGATTCTCTTATCAAAAATTATGCTACAGTATCCATTCCGCAAAACAGTTTGGATACATATATATGATTGCATTCCTGGGCATTTATTTCAGAGAATTAAGAGCTTTATATCCACACAAAAATCCTATACACAGGTGCCTACAGCACTTTCATTTGTAATAACCCCAAAATAGAAACAACAGAAATGTCCTTTAAGAGATGAATGGTTGAACAATGTTATATATAAACAATGAAATACTATTCAAAAATAAAAAGAAACAAATTGTTCAATTCATTCCACCTAGATGGCTGTCAAGGGCATTACGATAAGTGGAAGAAGCCAGTTTCAAAAAGTCACGTTCTGACATGATTCCATTTATATAACATTCTCAAAATCACAAGAGCTTAGAGACAGAATAAATTATTAGTTTTCAAGGTCTAGAGATGGCTGGCAAAGGGGGTTACATGAGGGAGAGATATGTGGTAATGGAACAGTTCTGTATCTCAACTGTACTACCAATTACACATATTCATGGTGCCAAGGTCACTTTCGATATTGTGCTATACTTCTAGAAGATGAAGGAAACAAGGGAGAAAGGGCTGTCTCTGTCCTATCTTTGCAACATTCAGTCAATCTATAATTACTTCAAAATAAAAAATGGTTTTATAAAATCCAACTATGCAAAGTGTAAGGCAAAATGCGTTGCATAAATGTTCAAAGCAGTGTCATACTAAATACTATATCTGACAAGATGTTGCCTTCAGAGTTCATGAAGCACGTTTTTGCCAATACAGCTTACCAAGAAATATCTGATATGTTAAGAATCAGTTCAATTAACCATCAAAATGTCTATGTGTATTAGAACATCTTCTTTCTGAAAGCATCTAGAGCAAATAGCACTTGGAGTTTAATGCTAGCTGTAAGCAAGCTCTAACCTGCAACTAGAATATGTGAGTTCTATTCCTCTTTGTTTTCTCTATCTTTACTCAGAAAGATTAGTGTGACAGAAGCTAATAACCACTAACATTGGTGCTCTGATAGCTTTCAAATATTCGGAACTATCAAACTCACTTTCTTCAGACCCAAGCTATTTACTTTTAAAGGACCAGTCAATGCCCCTGGACTCTAACATCTTTCCCTTCAATGACAAAATTTAAACCTCTGTACTGTGTACTCTCAAAAAAAGAAGAAGATGGCTTAGACCAAAAACCAGTGACCATGATCTCAAGGCTCATGATACGCTGATAGTGCTAATTACACTTTTAGTACAACAATCTTGAGGCTGCATGGGTATCAGAACTAGACTTGCACAAGTCAGAGTCAACTTAAAGGTACAGGTGAGGGTGAAGTCTCTCTCAAGGTGTCTCAGAACAGATTCTTGGGTATGTATTTCCTTAATGTTCTGGCTGTCTGATGCCAGCCAGCTTCAGTCTGAGCACAGAACGTATGGTGTTTGAGCTTGTGAAAGGATTTTTCCAGGAACACCATGAAGACACTTTGCTCGTGGAGGCACCTAACCTTCAGACACCGGTCACTGCTTGCTTACTCTTTCATTCTCTCGGCCACATATCCCAGAGTTTGTGTAACACAGGCTAGATTTACAAGCCCTTTTCGGTAGTCTTAACTGCAAAAACTCACATATCCTAAGATCAGCTTTCATTCTGAAACTCAGATGTTAACTGAAATACTGTCTACACTACGTGTATCACATCAAACCGGCCTACTTTCGTGGAATGTAACGCATTGCCAACAAAGCCTACAGAAAGTGCCAGATGCCTCCTGTCTAGACCCTGGTACTGGCTCATTCAAGAGCACCCCGCCATGCACAACACTGTAAGGAGAATTAAATCAGGGCGTTCCCGTTTTCAATTCCACGTTATTCTGATCCAGTGGTGGGGAGCCAATACCACATGCACCCTAGCAGGCTGTCCATTTTTAAAAACTCTAAGAGCCAGGGATTTAGATCATTGGTTCTGCTGCCTGCCTCATAAGCACAAGGACCTGAGTTTAATCCCTGGTCCCAATAAATAAATAAAAACTCTAAAAGGTTCACCACCATCACTGCTCTACCCATACTATTTTTCATGTGTCAATACATTCTACAGGGTAAAATATACTATTTGTGTTTTTATTTTCTAAGTTGGAATAAAAATTAAACTAATTACAAATGGTATAGATTAAGACAACTTTCTGAAGACAAAACAGTTCATTTTAATCCTGTCAGAGATGAGAATCAGGAAGACTGTGAACATCAATCATTGTTTAAAAAGAAAAGCAAAATACTTACAGCCAACCATCATCATGGCCACTGAAAACATCTTCTCCACATCTGTGGTAGGAGCTATGTTTCCAAACCCTATGGTTGTAAGGCTTGTCATGGTAAAGTAGAGAGAGGACACATACAGAGAATCCTTGCTGGGTCCTCCTTCCCATATCCCTGCACTGGAATTGTATCGATACGGAGTCCCAATGCTCAAGGCCAGCTGGTACAGCCAGCTGTCTATCTGGATGGTGTTGGTGACTTCATCGATGACCTCGTAGTCTCCAATGCTATACCATATGCAGGCCAGCCAGTGGGCGACAAGTCCAAACACACACACGAGGAGTACAAGGACCGCAGCTCCATATTCTAGGTAATGGTCCAGCTTCCTGGCAACACGGCCCAATCGTAAGAGACGCACCACTTTTAAAGAACTGAAGAGACTGCTGATGCCCTGAATGAAAGAAAAGAAATGAAATCTCACTTTCAGAAAAGAAGAGGCTGCAGCCAACACAACAGGTCACTTCTGTCAACTTGATCACCCATTTGTATACTAGCAATGTACACATAAGAGGTCTGTCTGTAAGAAAACAGAAGAGCCAAAATAAAAAGCTTTTTTTAAAAATGCTAATTCCACCCTACTCAGAAGTGAGCTTTTTAAAAATTTTACTACACAAAACAATTTTCCATTAGAAAAGGACCACAAATTTATTTTCGTATGTGGAGTGTGAAATAACCAAATGAGAAACCTAAGTATAAATAAATTCAAGAGCAAAATAAAAGGCAGATAACATGAAACAGAAAGAGAGATCTTTTGCAAAAGGAAGGGGACCAGGAGATGGAAGGAGGGAGGGGAAGGGAACGGGATGAAAAAAGAATTAAGATGTGTTGTGCCAACTTCCCAACAGGAATGCAATCACCATGTACGACAAGCATGTACAAACTTTAAAAATTTAAAGAAAAAAACAAAGAAAATTGCTCAAGCATAATACATGCAGGGTACAGAAATAGGGATGATGAACCTGCTGTTTTAATTTTTCTTTCTATAAAATCTGTCCTCAGTCTTTTTATTTCTTACTTTATAGTAGTTATGAACATCAAAACTTCAGGAAAAAGAAACCTAGTCTTCTAAGAAGCAAGCAAGAAACCCTTCTGTACATACGAGGTGAATGAGCAAGTACCATTGCTGGTCCCACTGCTTCCTGCCATGGCTAGGGTAAACGCTAAGTTTATAGAGCTCTGACAAAAAGTGAAAAGAGCTGAACCGAGAGCTTCCTAATTCCTATCCTCTTCTAGCGACAGTCATAGAAATGAACACCAAAAGGAAGGAGCTTCGAGAAAATTGAGAAGCTTAAAATACTAAACAAAGCATTATACAAATGAAAGCACCACATAGTTTTTCTTAAATCTGGAAGAGCCCACAGCTACTTTTTGGAAGCATATAATACACCATGGGGCGGGGGGTCAGGGAGGACTCGATGCATTCCTGATGCGGATCACAGAAAGGCCCAGAGGGAAGTAAGAGCAGAGACCTGGGAAGCCGTCAGCTGATCATCAGAAAACCTAATCAAGCCTATGACTTCCTTCCTGCTAATTCTGTCTCCGAAAGGGTAGACAAGAACTTCAACAAAGTCCCTCAGCTTACTCAAAACTAACATGGAAGGACTGGCTGAGTCAGTGACCTGAGGCCCTGCAAGGTAAGAAGACTGAACACAGCTTGGAAAGTCTCTGGAATGGACCTATCTAAGCAATCACGAAGGAGGACAAACATAAGTATTTGTTGAGCACTTCTGAAGGCTGGTCTTTGCGGTTGAGCCCTGGGGACAGTAAGACAAATATATCCTGCTTCTGCTCTGAAAGAAGCCATTATCCAAATGCATGAAAATTTCAGAGTCCAATTTAAAAATAAAAACAACATTACTACAGGTACTACTTTATAGGTGGCTTGAATTTTTACAGGAACTGTGAGACTCCTGTTTAAGAGAAAAAGAAAAGTCACTTCTAGCTGAATTCCACTCTATAAAAACAAAACAGAAAAAACAGAGAAGAAATCCTAACTCCATTCTAACTAAAAAATAGCTACAACCCCAATACAGAATGTGAAGATTCAGAATATACTAGAATGAGGTTTAGTCTTGGAAGGATACGCTCTCCTCATCCTTAGCTGGCAATTTTCTCCACAATGAGCTGACCTGCCCTGAATGGGACAGTTCTACAGGTCACTATTTCAAAAGCACATTTCCTATAGCCATGTCCAACACTCCTTCAGGACGACAAAATGTTTTGTGAGCACTGTAAATGTCTTCTGCCCTGGGTTCCATGACAACACTTTCTCCAAGTTTTTAACCAGCTCCCTGACAGGTCCATCAAAATTGTCTTCTAAGGCTACTTCTCCATGCTTCTAGTACTGCCTTCCACTCTCTTCTGGTTTACGTACTCCATGTTCAAGTTCAAGTTCCACCTCGGATGATTCCTGGGTCTACTTAGCACAAAAATGCCCCTGCCTAAGTTTCTCACACATAGCCAAAGGCCTATTGCCTGTTTCCACTGGGATCTCTCTTGCTAACATGTCTGAAAAGGATCCTCATCCTCCAACTCCGTACTTAATGACATCATTACCCACCCCATCGCCTTGACCTCAGGTGGAGTCTGAGTTGCTCCCTTTCCCTGCCACAACCACCTGATTTTTATGGTCCAAAGTTGGGAAGATATATCACCCTGATTGCTTTCTACCAGTTTTCATTTTTATTGCTTTTTATATAAATTTTAATTTTATTGGTATATGTTTGCCATACCTAATAATTAAATTCCTCATGTGGAGTTGCTGTGTGTACATGAAGCATCTGAATCCTTTTTTATCCGTCCTTCCTCCCCCTCGCTCCACTTCTTGGTCCCCTTCCCTTTTTCAAAAGAGCTATCTCTCAGACCCTCTCTAGAGTGACTCTGCTGATCACAACTAGGACCCTCTTCAGCTGGAAGTAGCCAGAGCTGTCTTCGCCCTTTGCCGCCTCACAGCACTTAGGGGTACTTCTTCAGAGGGGGGAATATTGCAGATAGGTAAGTTCATTAGATATCTTGTAGGCAGTTAGACAGGGCCACCCTCAAGGAGCCAACACAGCGAGGAGCCAACATGGAGGACAGTCAAGACACATTCACTGGAGGCCAGAACTGTAAAAGGAGAGAAACTGCTGTACCCTTGTGCTTCCCTGGGGATAAGGAGCAGTGATTGATATTCTAAACAGGTATTACCTGGGTTGGGGGCTGAGGTCTTACCCAGCCTTTCCAGGAAACATCCCTGGCCCCCACCCTTACTGGAAATCCTTGTAGGCTTCCTACCTGACTTGCTCCCCCATTTGACCCCCACTTAATCAGTATTACCTGGGTGACTGTACTTGTCATCTTATTGGCTGGTCATGGTTTTGCCCACCTCATGCCCACCTTGTAATTTTCCACTGGGTCTTATAGTTTTGTTGGAGGACGGAGGACAGTCAAGACACATTCACTGGAGGCCAGAACTGTAAAAGGAGAGAAACTGCTGTACCCTTGTGCTTCCCTGGGGATAAGGAGCAGTGATTGATATTCTAAACAGGTATTACCTGGGTTGGGGGCTGAGGTCTTACCCAGCCTTTCCAGGAAACATCCCTGGCCCCCACCCTTACTGGAAATCCTTGTAGGCTTCCTACCTGACTTGCTCCCCCATTTGACCCCCACTTAATCAGTATTACCTGGGTGACTGTACTTGTCATCTTATTGGCTGGTCATGGTTTTGCCCACCTCATGCCCACCTTGTAATTTTCCACTGGGTCTTATAGTTTTGTTCCACATTGTACACGCCTCACCGCATGGCTCTGCTGTATTAAACATCTTGGAGAAGTGGGGTGAGCAGGCAACCCACTTTCTGGTCCTTCTTCTCTCTTAGACAGAAACCTTCTTTCCCTTAATAAACTGTTCCTACTCTTAAAAAAATAAAAACAGCTATCTCTCTATTTCCTACTATGTATCTTTTATTTTGCTCTTTATTTATATTTTGGATTTCTCATATAAGAGAAATCATGAGATATTTAAGCTTGTGTGTCTAATTTATTTCACTGAATATTATGGTCTCAAGGTACATACATTTTCCTAAAGATGGCTTGAATTTATCCTTTCTTATGGCAAAATGGTACTCCATTGTGTATAAATACCACATCTTTATCCAACCATCTACCTAAAGACAGCACGGAGCACACCCTCCTAGGGCTCGCCGTGAAGATAAAGTGAGGCATCATCTCCTCTACAGGCCTCACCTCTGTGCACCCTGCCAGGTCACTTCACACTAGACCAGAGCTCCAGGAAAACCAAACTCCTCCAGGGTCCCAAACATCACCACAATTTTAACCTCTGCATTTGTCCGTGTGTTCCCTTCATCTTTTTATCAAACCGGGAACTGTTATTCAAAATTAATAATACCAAAAAAAACTATACTTTGTTGGAAAAGTCTGCTGCTTTGTATCAAAAAGAATGTCAGGCAATCATTATAATTCAAAATGAGATAACCTGATTTACACGTGTGGTAGAATATTTAAAACTTGAAACAATACAAATGCCCATGTCTCGTATAATACATACATAGGGTAGAGCACAGTCACTCATTAAAATGTTACCTAAACATAAACATGAACAGACTACAATTATACCCAACAACAAACATAAATCTGAAAAAGCACAAAGTGGAGCAAAAGCAAGGAAACACCAAAGAGTATATGCTGTATGATTCCATTATGAAGAATTCAAAAATAAATAGAACTACTCTACAGGGCTAGAAGCAGGGATGTGACACCCACTGCTGAAGGAGGGGTGGTGACCAGGAAGGGCAAGTGGAAATTTGGGGATTCCTGGTAATATTCCGCTTCCTAGACTGGCTACTAATTACTAGGTGTGTTCATACCGTGAAAATTCCTGGAGTTACGCATTAAGATACGTATACTTTTCTTTAACCATTTGATATTTAAATATAAAAAGACGTTGGCAGTCACAGCTCTTTTGTTTCATTGATGGTCCCCCCACCCCGTGACACATGATTCAGAGTAATGACTTACTCGTCGTATAATAGGGGGGTCATATGCAATACTGTATCTAAACTGAGATTTTTCTTATTTTACGCATTGTTTTCATAACCTTTAGACCAGGCTACAGATTTTAATTAATTAATTGTTGGCAGCTTTTACTGCCCTCATATGGTAAACAGGACACTTGAAACGTACTCGTCATCTCCTCCCACTTCTTTTAGAACAACTTCTTGAGTCTCTACTTCCCACCAGTCTTAACTGTTTATTCATTTCCTGCTTCATCTCACTCCACACTTTTCAATCCTTCTGCGTCCTCCTCTGCGCTTCAGTGGCTTTCCGCCTCTGTTCTAGCCTCTGGGCCCTTGGTACACAAAGCCGGGGGTTCCTCTGGTGGCAGAGAATATCA